TTTTCAAATTTTATTATCTATAATTATTTTTTTAATATTTTTGCATTTTAAAAAAGTAAATCAGAGCTGAATGAATGTAAAAAGGTAGGCAAATTTGCTTGCGTTAGCCTACAATCTAAGAGATAAAGTAAATTACTATATAAACTATACTAAAATACTCTCCTTTAATTATTCTAGACTTACTCAGCTACTTTTCAATACTCAAGTATAATCTGCTACAATAATATTTTCTCTCATAAAAACATTAAACTATATTCAGCTTACTAGTTACTAATCACTAAAAGGCTACTACTAGTCTATATCAAGATCTTCTATTTTGTTTTGAATTTTGACTACTCTTCTTTCATACTGAAATAAACCTATTGATCAATTTTTTTACTTATTTCTTCTTGAATACTTGTTTCTTTTTCTTTCTGAGTTTCTTTAAATACATCTGTAAGTATAATATTTTTCTTATTTAACTTCATACTTTTTCTCTTTTATTTTTTATTTTTTTTTCTCAAAATATTGTTTTTCTTTTTCTATTTGGCTATTACCTTATAGCAAAACTTCTATAATCATTTGTAAAAGCAATTCTAAAACTGTTTAATGAACTTAACTAAAATCAAATTTGCTTTTCTTTTTGAGCTAGTTAATTTTGTAACTTCTCTTTATTACTTGGTATTTATAAATTCCTTTAGTAATAATCTTCTATTATTAAAGTTTATATTTTGTTACTTTCTGAAAATTGCTTTTTTAAGTAGATTAGTATTTATAGAGATATCATGCTATAATAAAACTTTAAGTCCTGTCAGTTGTATCACTTCCTTTTCTAAGTTTTTCTAAATTCTTTAATATATTTCATATTTTGTGATATGATACAAGATTTTGTCTTTTCAGAAGCATGCAATATATTTTTGATTTTTGTATAGTTTTGGATTTCTTTAGAAATATATATCTTTAGTAGGTAGTATATTGTTTATGCAATTTATTTAGAATATTAGTATTTTGCTCTTTTTTAAGTTTATACACTTTTTGTCCTATAGCTTCTTTAGAACCTGTCATGTATTATTCTAGATTAGTTTGTCATTTCTAGTATCTTTATAATTTTGCTTTAAGATATCTGCTAATTTGCTTAGTCTTGATTATTCTATTTTATAGTATACTACAAAGGTAATGTTTATAAAAGATCTTAATAAGCTATCTATACTTTAGCTTTTCTATTTAGGAATATAATTAATATCTGCTAATCTAGTCTCTAGTATATTTAGAGTACTATTTGAGCTTAGACTTTTTTTTACAAGTCTGTCAACTAAATCATTACTTATATCACCACTATGTCTTTTAACCTTATGGAGTCTTAGGTTTAGATCTTTAGCTTTGTAACAACTTCTTATTTAACTTAGTAGACTTCTATTTTTAACCTTAAAATAGTCTCTTAATTTGTTAATATTGTTGTATTTTTCAATAGCTTCTATTATAGCTTTGCTATCTATAAATATATGAACTTAGATTTCTATAGATGTTATTAGTAGAATAGTTCAAATTGTGTCTAATTTAGTATAAATTAAGGAGAGCCAATTTTCTATACTACTATTAAAACTAATACTATTATTTAATCTATTTTTACTTTTTACTATCCATCTAATTCCTATCTTGTTTTTTCTTTTCTTCTTTCTAACTATTGTTCTGTCTATATAAAACTTTATTATTTCTCTTCCTTTTAGTTTATTACCTAATTCTATTAAATTTTTTTTGATCTCATAATTATTTTTGCTTTTCTCTATAATTGCATTCTTAAGAGTTACTGCTGTAATTTCTACTCTAACTTCTTGTTCTATCTAAAAGTATCTACTAAATTCTGCTCCTCTATATATGCTGAGATAGATGTTTTTAGTAAGATATTTTCTCTTTCTTTAGTTATATCTACTATTTGATAATATTCATTGAGATTTATACTAATTTCACAAGTATTATTATTTGAATTTCTTCTAATACAACTTTTGTATCTAATAAAGATTTTGTATTTAAATCTCTGTTTTAGATTTTGTTACCAATATTCTGCTACTATAATTTTTTCAAATTTTCTTATAACTTTGCTTAGTTGTAGTTTATTATTCTTTTTGAAAAAGAACTATTCTTTTTTTTTTCTATTTTGAGATATTTTCTTTGGTCTAATTTTTATTACTTTTTTGTTTATATTTTTAATTCTAAACATATTTTTTACTTCTCTACTTTTATCTTCTTTAAATACTCTTTGTTCAAGATTTAGATACTAGCTTAGTATGTATCTCTTCTTTTAAAATAATTTTATATATTTGATTTGCTACTAAATTAGCATATACTTTTCTGAACTATCTATTAATTGCTCTAGATTAAAGAGATTTATTTTATCTGTGGTAGCAAAAGACTATATATTTTTCTTTTCTAATAAACTATAAATTTCAGTTCTTCTTTCATCTAAATTATCTGCATCTTCTGTAAGTTTATTGATTTGAAGACCTAATTTAGCAGACTTATATAGTACTTTGAGTATCAGATTATATTTAAGTATATTTCTATTGAATTTGTATTTTCTATTTGTTAGACACTTTAAACTTTTGCTTTGTAGCTACCTTTTTTTTAATCTTAGTCTTGTAACTATACTTAGTAAATCTTTTTTGTTTTGATATATTGTTAGCTCTGTAAATTGGTATACTAATTGATTTTGTCAGATAAATCTGAGTTTAAGAAAGCCAATATAGCTACATATAGAGTTTGCTATAATGCTAGCTAATTTTAACTTATTTTTGATTAAAATCTATATTAGTCTTTTGATTTTGTACAAATTGATTTTGTTAAAAAAGTTGTTTAAAGTTTGTATTTTATACTTGGTAATAATATACTATTGTTTAGATATATTAATTAATTAGCAGATACTTTTTTCTATTTTATAGCCTTGCATATTCTACTGACTTTATTTTGTATAATATTTAGATTAACTTTTGATTATCTTTACTTGTAATCTAAACTTTTAGATATCTATATATGCTAGTATCTTTTTTTGCAAGTATTTATCTTCTTTTTTATCTAGTTTTATTGAGTAATAATTTTAGTTTGTTTTCTTCTTTTTGTTAGTATTAATAACTACTAACTCTGATTTCTTGCTATTGATTTCAATATCATTTAAAATATAGAATTTTTTAGCAATATTTACTATTTTTTGTAGCTTTCTCTTAGATCTTACTATTCAGATTGTATTATTAGCATATACAAAAATAGCTTGCTGATATAATATTTCTTTTGAGCTATTATAAACTAGATCTGTAGGCTATTCCATTGTTATTTTATACCCTATATCTTTTGTTTTTTGAACTATATATAGTAGAGGATCATAAAAGATATACCAAATTAGCAGAGAGATTACTTCTTCTTAATCTATACTATTTTCTGCTTTAAATTCATTTGTTTGACTAAAGCTAGTAACTACTTTAATCTTTTTATTTTGAATAAACTTAGAATAAAATTTATTATTACTTCTAGTATTTTTATTCTTGTAAGAACTTTTTTTAGTATTTCTAAGCTAACAGAGTTAAAAGCTTTATATATATCTTAGAAGAGAATCCATAGCTTATTATTTTTTTGTCTTGTATCTTCAATTATACTGTTTAAAATATGAGTTCTCAAAAATAGAAACCAGAGAATTTTTACTGATCACAGATTTTGAGATATTCAGCAAAAATATTTTTGTTATACAAAATTAAAACAATCTAAAAATAGCCTATTCAAAATTAACCTAGTAAAACAAACCTATTTAAACAGGATTATTAGATCTATAGATTACCTCTAGAATAAAATACATGCAATATTTGCACAAAAATCTATTTTTAGATTTAGTGTCAAAACTTTTAACTATCATATCTCAAAAATTTATTAATTAACTAGACTTTCAATATTAAGTAAAAAGGTCTAGTAATCTAGTATAATGAATAGGTTGTCGAACTACTATGCAAGAGATCTAAGGTTCAAATTCTACTATCAACAGAATTGAATAATTATCTAGATATCTGTATCTAACTTACAGTAAACTCTATTCATTTCTAGAAGTTGTAACACTATAAATCATATTGTATTAATATTGTTCAGATATTAGAAATATAACAAAATATTAGAGTTGCATTATATGAATAAATTAAGATAAGATCTATAGGCAGAAGACCTGTATAGTAGAAATCCTATGTTAGGTAAAGTAGTATAGATTTCAATAGTCATACTAGTTAATACTTGATCTGGCAAAGATTTCTAAGTATGAAAATGCAGATCGAGTAAGTACAAATAAGTTTATGATATTAAATATTATAGTAATACCAACTTGGCTTGCTAGCTAACTAGATTATGAGAATCTATCTTGTGAAATATTCTGAAGAATATAGAAGTCTAAACTTGTAGAGAGCTATAGCTAGAACTGAGTTTATACAAATATCGAATAAAGGTATATATAAGCTAGATTAGGATATAGCATAGTATAGTTAGGTATTATAATACTTATTTATTAAAGTGTATTGAAATAGAACTTATCTAGATAAGATCTAGGCTTATAATAGTAAAGTTTTCAACTAATATCAGCTTAGGTGCCTTCTAAAATAGAGTAAAACGGAGTTATAGTTAACTATAAGAGTAATATTTGTGATAAGTAAGATAAGGCTAGGGAGTTTAAATAGAGAATCTTCTAAGAGATTTCAGATATAGTAGCTAGTGTAGAACTTTTGAGTAGACTACTTAAATAGATAACTAAAATTATATATATAGCTAGTTATACTCTCACAATATATATCACTTCTGAAATTTATGAAATGCATTTGTATAAAAAAAAAAAAAAAAAAAAATAATATTAAATAAAAAATATTTGATATTAAATATTATACCTAATTTATCAAACAAATTAATTTTCAAAAAAATATCAAATTCTCTAGTTTCTATTTTTGAAGACTATATATAGAACTTGCTATACTATCTCCTGGAAGTCTAGTAGTTAGATCTTTATAATATATTATACTTTACTAAGGTTTTGTTTAGACTATATATTAGAACTCTTATTACTATTTTGTAAAAAGTTTCTAATAGTATAATTAGTTATATATTTAACAGATTATAGTTCTAGTTTTTATCCTTAAATATTAGATATAACTTGCTGAGCTTCTATTTGTATGAGTTTTCTCTTTTTTTAATACATAAACTTACAAGATATTAGAAAACTTTTTGTACTATAGGTTCTACTTTTTTAATCAGAGGATAGCTTATTTTAGATAAGCTTAGTGCTAATTTTAGTTTAGTCTTCTTTAGTACTTTAACTTATTCTTCTGTAGAGACTTCTTCATTCAGACTAGTATATATATTCTTACTTATATTATTAATTAGCCTATATATTTCTTCTTATTTCTTAGACATCTCTTTATACAGAAAGTTTTTTTTCTAAAATTGCTTGTTAAAGTGACTTTATACTTCTTCTAAAACTTCTTCTTCTTAATTTACTAGTATAATATTTAAGTTGTCTTCTTTTACTATTCTGTCTAGAATTATTTATTTAGAGGATCTTTTCAAAAGATTATCTGGTATATGTTTAAGCTTTTCTTGAATTGCTTTATATCATTAGTTTACTGTAATATTTATTTTTTAAAATCTTCTTTTCTTCTTTTCTATTGTAGTTTAGTATTCAAAATTCTCTACTAATTTTTAAACATTTTTAGCTTTTTTTTTCTAGTTTTCTTTTATAATTTCTTTAATTTCTGTTTTGTATTTGTTGTTTATTTCTAGTATTGAGATATTTACTAAATTCTTATTAGTAAGACTTATTGGTTAACCTAGTTCTTTAGTACAAATATGATAAAACATTCTGATTTTCTTTATGTCTTTTTTTATTTTATTATTTTCTTTAGTTTTAGTAGTCTTTATACTTTCTGCTATTATTTTTTTACTTAGAAATGATAGTTTTGCATATTTGATAATACTCAATACTATTATATTCTATAGTTCATCTATATCTTGTAATACTATCTCTTGTATACTGTTTCTTGTATCTATGATTTTAGTTTTCTTTTTAAGTAAATTATTTAGCTTAGTTCTATACTCCTTCTAATTTTTTTCTTTTGTTTTATTAAGTTAGAATATCTATTGTTTATCTTTAAGCTTTTTGTTATATGCTAAAGATTTGAACTTATTTGTAATTTCTGTAAACAGAATTGCAACTACTATAAAGTGATTGCTACCTGTAATAGTATTTGTTTTGATGATATCACAATATACCAAACCTTGTTTTAGCTCTTTAGATAACCATATATAGTTTATTTTAAAGTTTATTATACTATTTAATCTTGAAAATTTCTTTACATATAGATGTAGATATCTAAATAAATCTATTTTACTAGAATTTTCAAACTATACAAGCAGTAATAGCTTAGAGAACATTTGGATTCTTTTCTATTTTAGTCTAATTTTTAATTTCTTATATCATTAAAATCACCTAGAACTATAACTTTTATACTTTTTTTAAAATATTCATTGCATCTTCTGATTACTTAATATTGGATTTCTCTTTTTGTATCTTTTTTATTATGTAGCATATATATTGATATGATCAATAAGTTTTGTTTTTTAAAAATAAAAAATGCTTCTATATAATATACGCTAACTCTTTTTACTTAGCTTAGATATTTCTTCTATTTGTTATTAATTAATATACCTATTTTAGATCTCTTTTTTTTGTTTTTTTCTAGGTCTGTTCAGTTTCTAAAGAATTCTTTATATCTTTTTATACTAAACTTGTTTTGCCTTTCTGTAGTATTAGTTTTATTAATTTCTATTATATTTAAATTCTTGTGTATTACTTACTCTAGTAATAATTCTAGCTTAGTGAAACTTCTTTTTATTCTGTTGATATTATATATAGCTATTTTGAATATACAATAGTCATATATTAAATTTTGTATTTTAGGTCTAGTAATCTTAGTGTAGTAGTTAGGTTGTCAGACCACTATGCAAAAGGTCTAGGGTTCAAATCTTACTATTGACAGAATTGAATAATTATCTAGATATTTGTACCCAACTTACAGTAAACTCTGCTCATTTCTGGGGTTGTAATCCTGTAAATCACATTGCACTAATACTAATCAGAGTATTAGAAGTATGATAGGATATTTGGGAAAGTGTAATATTATATAAATAAATCTTGATAGAATCTATGAGCAGAGAATCTGCATGGTAGAAAATTCTGAGTTAGATAAAGTAGTATAGATTTTAATAGTTATACTAGTTAATATTTGATCTAGAATAAAAAATTTGCGTACAAAAAGATCAGTGACTAGGATGTGAATAAGTTCATTAGGAAACCTGCATACAAAAAGATTAGCAAAATGAGTGCATATAAGTCTATTACATGAAGTTATATGATAATACTAATCTGGCTTAATAGCTAACTGGATTTGAGAGGATCTGTTTTGTGTGATTTCTGGAGGCACAAATGACTTTTAGTAATACTAATCTGAGTGGTAACCAAATCTGAGAGAGCCTATTTTATGTGATATCTGGAGGCACAAATAACTAATTCAGTAGAGAGCCATAGTAGGAACTAGGTTTGTATGAACCTCGAACAAGGGTATATGCAAGCTAAATTAGGATATAGAGTAGCATAGTTGAGTACTACAGTATCTATTAATTAGGAAGTTAGTGAAGGAGTATCTGAGATAGGCCTAGGCTTCGAATCATAAAGTTTGTAGACTAATACTAGCTCTGTTAATGTTTTCCAAAAATAGAAGTAGTATAGGGTTAGGCAAATAAAATAATACGATAGCTTTCAGATAAAATAGCATATAGCTAGAGAGTTTAAATAGAAAATTTTCAAATAAATTTTAGGTATAGTAGCTAGTATAGAACCTTCAGATAAACTACTTAAATTAGACAATCTAAAGTTGTATGTATAGCTAGTTATACTCTTATATATGTAATCATTTTCTACTATTATACCAATAAAATTTAGCTAATAGCATTTGTATAAAGTAAAAAAAAAAAAAAAAAAAAAAAAAAAAATTTGTATTTTTTTACCTTTTCTTGTAACTCCTATACTACTTCTTCCTTACTTTGAAAAACAGTCTGCTCCACTATTCTTTTTCTTTAGTTTAACTTGAGTACTTTTTAAGAGCATTGAGAAGCTTCTTATTTCATACTATTAATCTTGTCTTTAAGACTTCTAATTAACTATAGTATATAGTCTATAAAGTTTTCTGTTCTTGCTTCTTAACTGTACATGTAGTTTGTATTACTTGAGGAACTAGTACTTGATTCTCTTTTTATTTTTTTATGTATTTTTTTTTCTTTTATTTGAAGAAAATATACTTTTATAGCTATTATTATTTCTAGGAAAGATAATATTATGTGACTTTTCTTTAGTTATAACAAGTTTGAATCTAATATTATTTTTCTATCTGTTTTCTTGAGATTCTGTTATAAAGAAACTATTATGATATGCTTTTTTGACTTTTCATATGTGTTAGACTCCAATTTAGTTTGGTATTATAATATATGATGCTATATTTTTGGCTTCTATTATATCTTCTTTGTTTTGAAAAGTTACTATCATATAGCTTTTGTTATTACTATTTGTATTTTGAAATACATATACTCTTTTAATATTTGTATATCTTATTTGTCTAAATACTAGTATCTCATTAGCATTCTTAAGAAGATTATAGTTTTAGTATATATTGTTTCTTCTTATCTAAGATGTCTGTTCTGTTGTTTTCCAAAATTACTCTTACTAGTATTTCATTATTAAAAAGAATTACCTAAGGTATTTCTTCTTAATTTTTAAATTTTTTTTATATAAAAGATATTTCTGCTCTTAGCTTATAGTAGTCTTTTTTGATT